GGGGGGGGGGGGGGGGGGGGGGGGGGAAGGGGATTTTGATGTCCCACGTTAGTTGGGGAGGAGAACAAAACACCCTTTATGAGGTTATGGAAACCTTCTCATAGAAGATGCGTTTTAAAGCCTTGAGAGAAAGTCCAAAGAGAACAATATCTGCTAGCGGTGGATTTGGGCCGTCACAAATGGTATTAGAGCCAGACATCGGACTATGGGCCAGCAAGGAGGATGTTCCCCGAAGGGGGTAGACACGAGACGGTGTGCCAGTAAGGATGCTGGCCCCAAATGGGGTGGATTTGGCAAGGTCCCACATCAATTGGAGAAAGGAAAGAGTGTCATCGAGGACGTTGGGCCCCAAAGGGGAGTGGATTTTGATGTCCCACATTAGTTGAGGAGGAGAACAAAACACCCTTTACGAGGGTATGGAAACCTTCCATAGCAAACGCGTTTTAAAGCCTTGAGAAGAACCCCGAAAGGGAAAGCCCAAAGAGGACAATATCTACTAGCAGTGGATCTAAGCCGTTACAAATATAGTAGATGCATTTTAAAATCGTGAGGTTGATGGCTATACGTAACGGGTCAAAGCAAACAATATATGTTAGCAGTAGACTTAAACTGTTACAAATGATATTAAAGCCAAACACCGAAAGATGTGCTAGTGAGAACGTTGGTCCCCAAGGATGGTTACAAATGGTATCAGAGCCCAAAGCTAAGACGCCAGCCCCTAAGGAGGTGGATTGTGAGATCCCACATCGGTTAAAGAGGGAAACAAAACATTCCTTACCTCTTTACAGTAGACGCGTTTTAAAACCGTGAAGTTAACGAAGATGCAAACTCATTAAATCTGAAGCCATCGTCTAATATTGTGATTAAAAAAGAAAGAGTTGGAGGCAAAATGTTATTATTAAGAATAGAATAGTTTTATTCTTCAACTTGTTTCAAAAACTATGGACGTTTTGGATGCTCTCATGCGTACTCATTATGGCATGCATACTTTTTTTTTTTTTATGCCCATCAAATCATCGTTCTTATACAATTATAACGTATTGTCGGTTCGAGTATTAGTTCAATAGATAAGATCTCGTTTAATAACTATTTTATTTTTTATTTCTGATAATCTCAATTTATTCACAATAACCTTCATTTTTATTAAGAAAACATTTAAATTTTTAATGAATTTCTAAAAATAAAATAACTTGATCGTAATACATAACGGGGTAAAGTGAACAATATTTGTCAGTGGCAAGCTTGGACGGTTACAAACAAGATTAGAGCCAAGAACAATGTGCGAGCAAATATGCTGACCCCATAGATTGTGATATCTAGATTGGTTGAAGAGAGAAATGAAACATTCCTTACAAAGGTGTGAAAACCTCTCCTTAATAGCGTGTTTTAAAGACTGTGAGAGTGATGGTGATATAGACGGAATACATAACTCTCGGGTAAAAAATGGTTTTTTATTTGGAATATTTAATTAGTGTTGGGATTTAGGAAGAGGGTCACAGTAGCAGTTGATTAATGATGTCGGAATGACATTATTTTAAAGCGAAGAAATCTACTTAATCAGATTTTTAACATAATCACATCTCACATTCATTCTCAGCCGAAAGCCCATTACGAAGATCACCATAATATTTCCTTTCTTTAAACAATAAAAATCGAAAGACATTCCGCCAATCGCACCAATTCCACCACTGGGCTTCGCGCTCCGCTCACCATCACCACAAAATCTCGCCTCTAAACCCTTAATTTCCATGATTTTTCTCCCAAATTCGAAAACCCCATCTCAAATTTCTCCATCTTCTGAATCCTTCTCCCCTCACAAGTTCTTAAAACCCCCCATTTCAGCGTTGTAATCGATTTCCTTTGGAGTTCTTGCATGATGTTGTCTAGATATGGCGCTGGATTCTCCCTCGTTTTTCTGCTTTTTCTCGCCGATTTGGCGACTGGAAACGAACTAAGTTTCACTCAAGTGAGTTCCCTTTTCGCCATTTCCTGTAATTCATCGATCCCATTTTCGTTTTCATGAGGTTTATATAATGGGTTTCTTAAAATTTGTTTCTCAGTCCAATGGGTCTGTGGCAGCGCTGGTGCCACTGGTCGAGGAGGGGAAAATGACGATGATGGAGATGAATGAAACTAGAAGAAAACTGGGGAGCTTCCAAGTATGTGCTCCTTGTACTTGCTGTGGTGGGGCTAAGGGCCTGTGCTTGCCATCTCCTTGTTGTTATGCTATCAATTGCAAATCCCCAACAGACCATTTGGGTTTTGCTCTTTCACTCCTAAATCCTGTAATTGCTTTGGATGCAACCTCTAGCTTATACATTCATATATCTCTCTGAAATTTCCTTGCATATATATATATATATATGATGATGATGATGATGACCTTGGTCATTTGTTATCTCTGTTGCTCTGTTCTGGAAATGATTGATTTGAAGAACTCTGTCCTGAAATTAATTCTTGACGCTGTTAGTTCCAAGATTTATCATAGAGTTATGAAACTAGCCGTTCCTAGAGGCCTTGATGTTGTATAGATTCTCTGTAAATGGCCTGTGTTTGTTCTTGTTCTAAAACTTGTTAGCTTATTCAAGTTATTTGATGATTGCTTTGAGGCTCTTTGCTGCTAGGTGTTTACTTTGATTGATACCTCTAGTGTCTTAGAGTCATGGTTTGATAAGACACCAATCAACTTCTCTCCATTTCTTTATAAACTGAATAAGAATATGCTTCCTTTGTTGTGTACATCCATATCTTTTGTTTGGTGGGGGCTGAGTTGAGGGGATGGAGGAGTGAGAGTAGTGTAAACTTTGTTTATAGTTCCTGATGTGTAGCTTTGTTAACGTTTGTGAGACTAATCTATACCCATCGTAAAAGCTTGTAACAGCTCAAACCCATCTCTAGTAGATATTGTTTGCTTTGGCTCGTTATGTATCGCTGTTAGTCTCATAGTTTTAAAAAACATTTGCTAGGGAGAGGTTTCCATACCTTTAGAAGGAATGCTTTGTTCTCCTCTCTAACTGATGTGGGACCTCACAATCCACCCTCTTTCGGGGCTCAGGGTCCTCACTGGCACACCACCCGGTGTCTGACTTTGATACCATTTGTAACCGTCCAAATCCACTGCTAGTAGCTATTGTTTGCTTTCGCCCCCTCACGGTTTTAAAATGCGTCTACTAGGGAGAGGTTTCCACACCCTTATAAAGAAAGCTTTATTCCCCTCTTCAACTGATGTGGGACCTCACAATCCACCCCCCTTTGGTGGCTTAGCGTCCTCACTGGCACACCACCCGGTGTTTGGCTTTGATACCATTTGTAACAACCCAAACCCACCGCTAGCAGATATTGTCCCCTTTGGCTCGTTACGTACTGCTGTTAGCCTCACGGTCTTAAAATGCATCTACTAGGGAGAGGTTTTCATACCCTTATAATGAATGCTTTGTTTCCCCTCTCCAACCAATGTGGGACCTCACAAAGCTACTGCATTCTTCTTCGTTTTTAACTCGGTGTCTTCTTCAAGACTCCGAGCATGAAATATTCATAATGTGATGAAGTTTTTAGCTTCGTTTTCGGGTAGGCAAAAGAACGGAAAATGCTCGAGTTTCCTGCACATTTGTGGAGTGATGTAGGAAAGAGACAAGGGTGTACAACTTAGAAGTTATATCAACATTAAGTGCATTGAGAAAAGTGTTTGAAGAATCTAATTCTCCTCTTTCTTTGATGGAACACCCCATGTGATGCCTTGAGGACAAATAACTATTAACTTGTTGTCTTGTTTTCTTCTTTGCTTGATTTATGCCCTTCATACCCTTTAAACTACTACTCCAATATGCCTAATTTATGTATCATTCATCCATACGTACTTGTACGGTATTTGGTATCGACCCGGTACAATATGTGCTTCTCTTAACATTCATCCATTCTACTTTTGTTTCGCTTTTCCTAGTCATTGAGCTTGGTTGACCCGAGCCTCGAGTGTAGTTATTGTTTTTCTATATGGTGCTTATTTTGCGCTTGTGTGAAGCCTTGTATGTGAATACGTGACTGTGTCTTTATCACTAAACTATAGCCACTTTGTCGACTATTTGTTTGTAACCTTGAGAATGAAAATGATGCGACATAGAAGGACATGAGATGTTCCCAAATAGAAGAAATGTGATGTAGGAAACATGAGAACACATCGACACGCCTCACCCCTCCGACCCAAGTTTTCGAGAGAGTGAGAATGGAAAGACAATGAATTTAATACCAAGGTACTTGTGTATTTGAAGTGAAGGATTAACACGACTTTTTCTTCATACACTGTTATGTCTATCAACCTCGGGATATTATGTGCTTTATCCCATTACGTATCGTTATCAGTCTCACAATTTTAAAATGGGTCTTTCAGAGTTATGCAGCGAAATTGATACTCATCTAGATACTATCCTCTTTGTGTTTTATCTTTCGAGCTTCCCCTCAAGGTTTTTGAATTTTTTCTTCTGGACTTTCTTATTACACCTCTACTAGAGAGACGTTCTTACACCTTGAGAAATGAGAAATGCTATGTTCCTCTCTCCAACTGATGTGGGACCTCATAGAATACATGTTGAAAACTTTTGTATCCGACAAATGTCTAACACAAGTCTATTTTGATGAACAAATATTTGATACTTATCAAGTCTGAGTCTAAGTTAACGCGTCGGTGCTTCATAGATATACTTACCTGACACGAATATGCCAATGCAGCTAGCACGCCCGTGCTTCGTAGGTATACTTTTGAAGAAGGGAAAGAATCTAGGGGGTGACTTTTGTTGTCTTCTTTCTTGCTCAGTTAAAAATAGCTGCTGAAGAACAAAAGTGGCAGTCTTAAAGTTCCTGTTCTTATATTGGAACTGATGGGAAACACCCAAAGTTGCTTCTGTTGGAAGTGGACAGAATAATCCTTTTTTCTTTCCTTTTTTTATTTGGAGCCTTCAAAATATTGTATTTCGTTAAATTACCCGTAAACTTTATATTTTGTCTAAAATTTTATATTTTATTTCAAAAATACCCTTGAACGTTTAATAATGTTTCAAAAATACTCTTAAAACTTTTAAAAGTTCAAGTCATCCCGACCACCTACTTAGAATTCAATGTCATACGATTATAACCAAATGTAGTAAGGAAAAAAATTCAATGTTACCATATAATATTTTCATAACAGATCAATCATCGAAGTGGATATTAAAACGAAGTTCGAAGGCCAAAATAAGACATTTCAGACACATGGTACCTAAAAGTTCATTATATTTGCCCTATAACAGGAAACAAACCGAAGTTTGTGGCAGGTATTTAGTTTACCCTACGAGTCAGAGCTTGAGTATGTTTGCAAGACATCGAGGAGGTCATTTTGTACTCTCTTCAAGCGAAAAAGGGGTCGAGTTTCTAACAACCAAGTTTGTATAAGGTATTCGGTTGTAACAGCCCAAGCTCACCACTAATAGATATTGTCCACTTTAGGCTTCCTTTCAAAGACTTCCTCTCAAGGTTAAAACGCGTCTGCTAGGAAAAGTTTTCCACAATGTTTTGTTCCCTTCACCAACCAATGTGAGATCTCACAATCCACCCCTCGAGGGCCCAACGTCCTCACTGGCACACCGCTTAGTGCCTAGTTTTAATACCATTTGTAACAGCCCAAGTCCATCGCTAGCATATATTGTCATTTTAAGGTTTTTCCTTCAAGGGTTTCTCCTCAAGGTTTTAAAGCACCCTTATTAGAAATGCTTCGTTCCCTTCTCCAACCAACGTAGGATCTCACATCAGGTTACCCTATGAGTCGAGGTCAAGTACGTTAGCAAGACGTCGGTTGAGGTCGATCTTGTACTCTCCTTTAAGGCGAAAGAAGGGTCGAGTTCTCTAGCAGCCTAGTTCTTTTACATAAGGTGTTTGGATATTCATAAACAAAGAGAGGGAATCTCTTCTTTCTTTACTCCATATTCATAAACAAAGGGTTTCTTTCTATTCTTGTTTCCAGTTTCTTTCCAATACAACTCTAAATGGTATACCCCAGTAATACTTAAAAACATATTTCAACAGAAGAAGTTGAAATTTACAGCATTTTAAATACAGAACACCACGAGATCAGAAGCTCATACCCGAGGTTTCGTGTTAAGATATCCGCTGCATATATTTCTGATAAACAATCATTGTTTCCTCCTTGTCCTTCAATACCAATGGCCATGAAAGTTTCTATATTCTAAACTTCAATGACGATCTACATTGTTACAAGAACGTACCAGTTCGTCGTATGATCGTTTTATAAAGTGGTGTTGCTATACATTGTCTCTGGGTATGGATCTTGCCAGCACTCATCTTGTTCAGCAGCCTTCAGCCATCTTTTTCTAAATACAGCTAGTTCAATATAGGACTGCCTTCTTACCTGCATGAATCAAAATTGAATTCAAAGATAATAAATAGACAAGAAACGAAACAAATGTAGACTCGACGTGACAATAAGCCTAAGAGGATTGTTTCATCAGATTCCTCCGAGTTATCACAGCCATACAAACCCACCACCCACCCCCAAAAAAATCTGTGAGATCCCACATCGGTTGGGGAAGAGAACGAAGCATTCTTTGTAAGGGTGTGGAAACCTCTCTCTAGCAGTTGCGTTTTAAAAACTTTGAGAGGAAACCCAAAGAGGACAATACATGCTAGCGGTGGGCTTGGGTTGTTACAAATGATATCAGAGCCAAACATCGAGCGGTGTGCCAGTGAGGACCTTGGCTCCCAAGGGGATGGATTGTGAGATCCCATACCGGTTTGAGTGGGAAACGAAACATTCCTTATAAACATGTGGATACCTCTTCCTAGTAGACGCGTTTTAAAAACCTTGAGGGGAAGCTTGAAAGGAACCATCCAAAGAGGACAATATCTGCTGGCGGTAGGCTTGGGCCACTACAAAGTCATTGGAGGACAATGGCTATCGGCATATTAATTATCTCGGGTGGACTTTATGATTAAGAATAGTTCATCAGAGGCATTAAACTAGGCTAAAGAAACAAATGAAAGTGAATTGCGTGTGCAAGAACTTACATCAGCCCTATGATCCTTTACAGGAGACTTTGAAGATGTCTGCAATTGTAGAGAACTTCTGTTATTTGATGATCATGAGGCTTAAGAAATCATAATGAAAGCAATAACTACATTGCTACAAGTAAAATTATAAAACTATCATATTTTCAACCTCATTTTCTTCTGGACCACCGAGCGTCGGTCGTCCATGATGGATTACATACTCGGAGTCAACGACACCGACGTTCTTTGTTCGATCACCCTGTTGGGAAACGACCCAATATTTCAAACAACAGCAGTAGAACATTAAAGGAAAACAAGATGACTGCTAGTAGAAACTCTTGCCTGTGCACAATATCCCAGTTGCAT